GGTTCTCTGCTATGGTGAAGCTCATAGAAAGGTACTGCATCTCCACATATGTCTACTGTGTTTCCCCGAAAATAAGACAGGGTCTTATGTTAATTTTTGCTCCAAAAATGCATTAGGCCTTATTTTCAGGGGATGTTTTATTTTTTCATGTACAACAATCTATATTTATTCAAATACAGTCGTGTCATCATCTTCTGGCTGCTGCACAATGGTGGAGGGCGGGGTTTCACTTAACTGGGGCTTATTTTTGGGGTAGGGCTTATATCACAAGCATCCTGAAAAATCATACTAGGTCTTATTTTCAAGTTAGATCTTATTTTCAGGGAAATGGGGTAGCTAAATGAGCAGGTAATAACACAGCAGCCAACTTCATTACAAGAAGCAGGCAAACAGGCAAGATCAAGAGCATCTAACAGGAATTTCCCTTCATAGATGCAACCTGGTAAATGACAATAGCCTGGGTGAGAAAGCCTAGTATTTTTCATGTGTGTCTTTATATGCTAAAGAATTGCTCACAGCAATAACACTCTAAACTATAACAGTTTTAGAAATGTAGTCTATAACTTAGAGGTGTACTCTGCCTTTTTGTACTCTTTGATTGTGCTTCTTAAGGCTGTAAGCTCCTGCATGTTTAGAATATAATTAAACTTCTCTATTGAATTGCACAGATTTTAACAGCATGGTTTTGATTACACACATTTCTCCCCAATAACTAAATAAATAACTAAATAAATAACTAAATAACTAACTAAATAAATAAAAATATGTTCAATAAATAAAGAAATATTCAATAAATATTGTGCTGCTATTCATCTCCAGGAAGTAGCCTGAGAAACATGGGTCTCGGGCTTACCAAGGACCCTGTTGTTGGCAGTGGCTTCGTTGGTCCCCTCAGTGAGGGAGGTTACTGGAGCATGCCAAGAGGCTGACATGGGTTGGAGAAGGGGTGTGTATTTGTGTATGTGTTAATCAACTTTTTGTGCTTTGTAGTTATGTTTGGGGGGAAGAGCTATACATGGATTTTGAACCATACGGGTGCCCAGCACCCCTAACTCCAGCATTGTTGAAGAGATAAGTGTAAAACATTCTTTTTGGTATTTTTATTGTACTTTCCTACTCCAGCAATTGTGAAACACTTTTGAGTCATGACTTAAGCATTTGCAGCCAACTTAAGTTCAGTCTTCATATATATGCACCTATAGCTTTTTTCATGGCTACAAAAACTTCAAATTACCGTATTTGTCGGTGTATAAGAAAACTGGGCATATAAGATGACCCCCCCCCCAACATTTCCACTCAAAATATAGAGTTTGTTATATACTCGCCGTATAAGACTACCCCCTCTTCCGCATACCTTCCACACACCAAATAAAAGGTGCTATTCATTGTCACCATTGTACAGCCACAGCACGACCGCAGTGCCTCCGGCCCGCCCCTGCATCTCTCTGTGACCGGCACTAGTGTGCAAGTGTGCATGTGTGAGCTCTGCGTAGACAAGGGGCGGACAGCTGCTTCCCTCCGAGCAGAACGGGCCGGTCACGTCGAAAAGGCTGGCACCCCGTCTCACTGCTGATGCTCACCGCAGCCATGCTGGATACTGTGCAATACTGGATGGTATGTAGAATGAGGTGGGCAGGCATCGGGAGGCTACTATGGGCACTGGGCGAGCATCGGAAGGCCACTATGGGCAGCTATGTCTATCCCAACTGAAGTGCACCTGGCGTATAAGACGACACCCCACCCACTTGGAGACATGTTTTTCAGGGCAAAACAGTAGTCTTATACGCCAGCAAATACAGTATTTTTATTATTATAATTAGTTTTATTTATATGCCACATTTCTCCCAGCAAGTGACCCAAAGTGGCTCGTGTTTACATGTTTTAAACCAGTGGTTCCCAACCTTGGGTAATTCAGGTGTTCTCGGATGGTAATTCCCAGAAGCTTTCACCACCAGCTATGCTGACTGGGGTTTCTGAGAGCTGCAGTCCAAGAACACCTGAGTTACCCAAGGTTGGGAACCACTGTTTAAACAATTTTACCTCTAGCTTTCCTTAGCTGCAAGATTGGATTTCTGTTTAAACATTTAAACCTACAATTTTGCACAAGTGATTGCAAGATTGGATTTCTGTATACCTGAAGTAAGGTAGCTATATCTTCCAGGTTACATATTTTCAATGATTTTGGATTTATGGAATTATATTTTCACACATATGGAACATAGAAGCAATTAGATGAATAAAGTCTGTAAATTAAGTGAGCTGATGTTGTGTATATGGATGTCTAGAAAAGGCTTGCTTTATTTACCATGAGTGAAACAATGGTTTATTCTCATCCTCTGAAGAGTGATGAAGCATTTAAAGAATGAAACAACTTATACCCTGAACCCATATGAACATTGATATGACTGATAAGGTTATCTGATCTCACACTGAAATTAACCCTAAAAGAGAAAGGTGTCAGCTGTGATGGACCACCACAGACTCGAACTACCAGGAGCTTTATGAATCTGATAATGCTCTGAGGACTTTGTTTGAGTGTCATACATTTGACCTTGACAGTCTAGACAGGTTGCCCTAGAGTTATTGAGAATCTGTCACAATCTATCATTATTAATTTAATAAATTATCATCGTTCTTATTGTAATTCATGTTACTATGCAGCAACAGTATGACCTAAGGTAAGCATTTCCCAAATTATAGAACCTTACCTAAATTGCTCTAGGTAATGTGATGAGACTGTTTTAATCATCTCTAACATCTAAAATATTTTACTAATGTCCATAGTTGTTATGAAGTTTTAAAGAGGTTACCTTGTGTCACTTGTATTTAATTAGCACATATCAATACAAAGTTAGCAAACATGTATGTTATAATACTTGGCATACTGCCATTCAAGCAGGAAGATAAATTTTGACAACTTATATTTTGTGTAATTATATTTAGCAAATCACTGTTTTGTATTTCTCTAGAGATTACCTTTTTCAACTTTTGAAAAGGTGATAAAGTCAATTATGCTGACAAGTGAAAAGTACTCCTTAATAGACAGGTTAAATTGCATACCTAAAACAGAAGTAGCTAATTAAAATAGCTGAAATTGCTCCAAGGCTTAGACTGAACAAGAATAGTCTTGCTTTTATCTAAGTAAACGTTTTACCTTTTTCAAAAGTTGACCTCAGCTACTGAGAAAACCTCTTCTTTAAAAGATAAACTTTCACAGTTGTAACCTTTTAACAATGACTCACAAAAAATTAATTTGAAGATAGTTATGTTTTCATTAGAATGTGACTTCATTTCTTAATAACAACAACTCAGAAATCTAATTCAGTTAAGTTTAAGGTAGAGAGGACAAATTTCTAACAATCAGCCAATAGTAAATTGTTTCTTAAGTGAGACTACTACAACCTTAGTAGTAAGAAAAATCCTATGAAAATTGGGGTTCTGGGTCAAATGGCGATGATATAAGGATACAGCAGCCTCCCTTCTTCAGTGACTGATGATGAAGGAGCAGGGCTAGTGTACATCACTCAATGTGTGTGGTCTCTACACACTTTCTAAATTACTGAATATGATACCCCTTTAGATACAATCTTCAGTGTGGAAGAGATTGTCACTCTCGAATTGGCCTCTTCAGCCACACTAGACGCTGTTCCAAATCCTCCATACAGAGCACGTCACCATAGTCTTTTGAGACTGAAGGATGCCTAACTAACTTAGATACAATCAGAATTATGAGTGGACACATGTAGGATGATGGATAGCACTGTAGAAAAGTAAACATTGTTCAAAAAAACCAAACAAAAACTTCATTTTTTTCAACATACAGAAATTACAGTTTTGCACATACATGTTTCAGAAAGAGTAAGGCAACCTAGGATTAAGACTGATTTTGTCTGATGCCTCTCGGGCTTAAAAAACAACTGTCATCCACAAACACCCTTAACTGATCTACACACAACTCTCTCATGCATGCATACACTTGACTATTTGTCTATGACACAGAAACCTTTAAGGAGCTCAGACCTTTCTGAAGGCCACACCTCCTGACCTAGATAATAACATTTCAGATACATTAGTATCATTTGTTTTTGTTGTTTTGCTCTTGCACATAACCAGGGGCTATTTCACAGATTCCAGAACTGAGTTACAGAGCTGGATGATGAGCTAAAATCCTTAGAGTTGCAACTGACTTTGAGAGGAAATTCTTCAAACAAATTCTCTTACTGCAATATCGTGATTTGATGATTTAATATTTAACTCAAACTCTATGATGGGAGAAAGAAGCAAACCATTACAGCTGACCATGACTGGTTTTGTGTTTTATGGTCTGGAAATGCTACAAAATGAAAACATTGTACTTCAGACAAAGCTCTGCAACAACTATATCATAGTGACTCAAAGTAATGAATGCATATCTCTGGAAGTGCTCCAGATACAGGTGGGAGATACAGCTCCCATTAGCTATGGTCATTCAAAGGGCAGAAGACACAGATGTGAGAAGGCAACAAGTGAATTCTCACTTGATCATGCCCAAGGAGAAACAAAGATATTATATTATGAAAGATAAAGGTGAAGAGACCTGGTGCTGAAATCCATAGACAGCTCTTGTTCAAGCAAGACTGGTGTAAGGCAATGGAAAACACAGTTATAGTCAGAAGGAGAGCTGAGATGGCATTTCCTTTGTTGAGAAGTACACAGAAAAAGTTACATGAGTTTACAGCCCAATTTCTTAATTACATCTGCACTGGGTCAATGTTCTTACCTTCCCAGAAATTGGTAAGATGTATCCTTAAAGCTCTTGCTATATTTAGGAAGCTGTAAAGACTTAAATGATTTGAAAATTTATATTATACAATGATAGAACATTACTTGCAATCATTACAAAGAGTTCCTTAGAAAAACTGTTGTTACATTTTCCCCTAAGGATTTTCAAAGAAATAAACAATAATGCTGTGATTGTACAATTGGCAACAAGAATAATATAATATATATTTTACACCAACCTATTAGAAGAAGAGTTCCGATTGCCAAACCTCCACCTAGGGGAAACAAATTTAGAAAAGAGAATACATATTAATATTGTAACAGTTAGTAGTATCAAGGAAAGGTGATACGGGAATAGAAAAATGTAATGTAAAAAAGCATTTTAATTACCTTTATAGTACTTCTTACAATCTACTATTAAATAATTACATATTACATATAATTATATATTACACACTACAATTACTTTCACAATATAATGAAAAGATCCTGCAGAGCTCTACGCAACTAAACCAAAGTACTTTAATAGTGTTGTCACAGCCAGCATTCCCATGTTTTAGCCAAAATATTCCACGGATATAAAGCAATGCTCCTATATATGAGGAAAAGCTTGATGAATCTCATAAAGTTAAATCTACAGATTACAGCTGTTTTCCTAGGCATGATAGTGTTTTCTGTCAAAATATTCTATTTTGAAAGTATATGAGTCTGCTGCGGCAAGAACAAAAGAGTCTTGGTAGACTCTTTATCAGATACAGTATGGCCTCAGTAGGCAGACTTTTACAGCCACTTGCGTATAAATGTCTACCTACTTTAGCTATACTCCATCCAGAAGAAAGACTATCCGAAATAAAGCTCATGCCTAAAACAACTTGCTAGTCCTTGAGGTGCTCTTAAAGACTGTTGTGTTTGTCAAGGCAACAAGGTGGATAGAATATGCATTAAATTGTTTTCCCTGATGGAAATTAGTCTTTATTTTGGACTAATGTAGCTCAAGTCTAGGCAGGAAATAGCCAAATAAACACATGCAATAACAATTCTGCAAATGCTGAATAGGCAGAGACAGAGTACAGGATCCAGTGAATCAGCATCACAAATGCCAGTCCAAATGTATTGTATTATTGCAATCTTAGCATCAGCAGACAGCTATAAAATTCTTCTGCAGTTTTTTCTCCTGTAGAGGGAAGAGTCTGGAATATGACATTAACTGTCCAAAATGGGACAATGCTGTCATATACCTCACCATATACAACATTTTTTCTGAACTGGGTGCCAGTCTTGGCTAAAAGGAAGATGTAAGTAATTTAGTACACAAGGAAACTGACATACAGTTCATACAAAGCTAGATTAGTTAGGTGCTACAAGACTTTTTACCTTTTTGTTCTACTTAAATGAATGTCACAAGCCTTATGAAGGTATTACAAACACTATTGCATGAGAAAGATAGGAATTCTGGCCCCTCCTACTATTTCTACAGATAGAGGGCAACAGTCTGGAAAGAAGAGAAATCTCTATGTGCAGAATATCTCCCCACACAATTGGTGGGAATAAAGCAGTGCTTCTGAAGAGATAGACAGCTACTATCAATAGTAGCTGTCTGTCTCCTCCCTCAGCCATCCCCTGGCACCACAGTGGACAATAAAATGATGGGAGAGGGAGATTCATGTGTTTTCAATCTGCACACATTTACCTTATTCGGATTTCGAAAGACCGGGATGGAGCTAGCAGCTTCTTTCTAATCATATAAAAAACAGTATCAGGTGTAAAAATGTTGTTTCTGACATAAACAAATTCCTTAGGAGGAGAAAGAAGAATCATAGAATCATCATATGGTTGGAAGGGACCTTGGAGGTCTTCTAGTCCAATCTCCTGCCCAAGGCAGAAGACCTCAAACCATCCCGGACCTCATACCATCCTGGACAGATGGCTGTCCAATCTTTTCTTGAAAACCTCCTGCAATGGGGACATTTTTATTGCTCTGGTCTACTCTGACTGACTGCCAGCCTTTGCACTGTTCTACACTGCAAAGCCCAGGAGTCACTGTACTTCCCAATCACTTCAAGAGCATGTCACTTTTTTCATTCATCCTCCCTCTCTCTTTGCAGTAGCAACTCATGCTCAGCAAAAGCTCTTTAGTCTTGCCTTGTTTGCTTAATAGGATGAGAGTTGGATATAGGCACATAAGCAGGAGGATTTGGGGAAAGGTGTGTGTGGAGGGGTAGCTGAAATTCTGGAGATGTGTAGCCTGTCAGGTCTAAGATGACTAAGAGGTATTGAAGGAAAAACACAAGATCAATCAGTGTGTTGAGGAGGAGCATGTCACAAAGAACAACAAAATTGGAGTAGAAAGTATGGTCGTACGTGCACTGGATTTTAAAGCATTAACTCTCCTAATGACAAGGAAAAGATCCCTCTTACCCCAAGGGACAAACAACTCTATCGGAATTTACCTCTCTGATGACTAGCTAATGAGCACTCTGGCCAATTCCAGTGGATAAAATTCCCACATAATGGATGTGTGTACAGGACATTGAATCTTCTCTTACAGCCCAATGCCCTTACAAGGCTTGGAAGCAGGACCTGTAACCATTTCATTTGCTACTCCATATATTCACAGATTATCCATATTTATGTGTGAAATTACTATAACACAAAGATTACTACACATCTACATGCATCTATTTATATTCATGTACAGTGGTGCCTCACTAGACGATGATAATCCGTTCCACTGAAATCGCTGTTTAGTGAAATCATTGTCTAGCGAAAAGCATTCCCCCATTGGAATGCATTGAAATCTGTTTAATGCATTCCAACGGAGAAGAATTGTCATTGTCTAGTGAAGATCGATCATAGGAAAGCCGCTTTGCTATTTAAACTGCCGATCGCCTGTTTAAATAGCTGTCTTGCGAAGCTTAGGTCCCGAAAACACCCGTTTTGCGAGCACAGAGGGAGCTGTCAAAATCATTGTCTAGCGAAAATTGGTTTGCGAAGCAGGGACCAAACATTGTCCAGCGAAATTCCCCCATAGGAATCACTGTTTTGCAAATCGCTACAGCGATCGCAAAAAGTCAATGTCTAGCAAAAAAACTGTCATGCGTGGTAACTGTCTAGCGAGGCACCACTGTATTGCAATCCCTGATCCACAATATATAGCTTCTTCATACTCAGACACATTCCAAATAAATATGTGAATTTATTTATTCAATAGTGGGCACATCTGAATTCTTCTTAATAGTGAGAGTCCAGTGAGGTTATTTCAGTGCAGGAACATGGTTTGTTAGCAGAACTAAAAATAGATGAACCACAAATATTCAGCTCCAGAATTTCCTATCACTATGCAGCAGGTACCTGAGCCCCCACTCCCAAGTGTGTGGAGGCTGGAGGGGAAGAGGAGGGGGAAACCATCACACCTAGTACCCAGTGTCAGACACAAGTCATCATATTTGGAGAGGAAATATATACAGTAATGTTATTCTTGGATATAGAGTACGCTATGTCATACATTGTTTTTAAGTCACTTTTATAAAATAAAATGCAGAGGCTGCAGTGCAATGTTGGCACAATGCTTTATTCAGCCTTCCCCAAGCTGGTTGTCTTCTAGGATGTGACGGGGTTGAAACCCAATATACTTAGAGAACATGAAGTTGCAGAGCACTGTTATATCAGGCTCCAAAAGTTATGCTGTTAAACATAAACAGGCTGTTTTAACCTAATAGTAACTGAGGCATATTTAAGGCAACAATATATAGTGAAATTACATAAATTGTAATATTTCTAGAAGCTAACACTCTGAGTTTGTGAAATGATGAGAGGGAGATCTGATAGGGCCGTGGTCCCCAACCTTGGGCCTCCAGATGTTCTTGGTCTACAACTGCCACAAGCCTTCACTGCCACCTCTACTGGCCAGGATTTCTGGGAGTTGAAGTCCAAGAACATCTGGAGGCCCAACTTAGGGGACCACTGTGATAGGGTATCTAGTTAGAGTTGTCATCATAGTTAATAGTTCAATTGGCTGCTATCTTGGAACTAAAGGAAACACCCAAACAAGAAGTGTATTTTTAGTAGGTAAAATAAACTCCGTACTGAAAAATCTAGGTTTTTCGAATATGCAAACTTTCAGTCAACTACCTCTACAAGTAGCAAAGCCAAAACGAGAAAATTAGGGTTGGAACATAAAAAGAAGAAAAAAACAGAAATGTTAAGTCTCAACTTTTGCAAGTTTTTTTTTCAGTGCAGCTCATTATAGCTCATAGCTGAAGATTTATTTTTTAACCTACACTGCTGGCAAAATAAGAAAGCATAGGCATAATTGTTAATGAAATAATTGTTTAAAATGTCATAAGAAAGTTTAGAATTCAAGTGTGCATTGAATGCATTATACATTGCTATTGGCAAAAAAGAGAGGAAAATAGTGAATCAGATATATTTAATATTATACATATATTTCATCTGTTTCACAATGCTAGATTACATACAGAGGTTTCAAAATATTTTATTACAATTAAATTTTATTTAAGTCGATGAACAGTAAGTATAGTAAAGAATTGCCTAGGAATTGTCATACCAGTGAGTAAGAGAAAATACTCATTTTAAATTTACAAAACGTTTAAACACACACAACCCAGCAGAATATTAAATATCTGCATCTGGCATTTCCAAAGAGGAACACAAAAAGTCATCAAGGGCAGTGGTCATTGACTAATGACCATATAACATATAAGCAGGAGTGGAACTGACAACTGTAGGCACTTCTCTAAGTCTAAGGAACTCTGGATGGGAGAAAAGCAAAAAGAAAAGCAAAAAGATAAGGAAGCAATCCTACAACATTTGGCTGGCTCAAGAGCTATAGAAAATGGTGGTGGAAAGGCACTTAATGCCAAATGAGGCCTCAAGCTTTGTGGGTGTAGCTACCCTACCAATGGTGATGCCTCAAAAGGCTACTGCAAGGGGTGTCAGTGTCTGGCAAGGATTTACAGATTCCCAAATCCTCTTATTCTCCAAATATGCATCAAAGGGCCACTAAGTTTGCAACTAGCAGAGTAATTCCCCTTCCAGTGTGACCATGACACAGGAAAATGAAACATACCTATCCAGACACTTAATTTTTCCTGGCTACACCATGCCAGATTACCTTGTGGTAGAAGCAGAATATTAAACTAAATATGCCCTTGGTCTGATCTTGCACCACCCTTTTTAGGTTCTAATTTACGTATTCTTAATATTTACCTAGCTTTTAATATAATAAAATCTTCGTGGTTTACATACAAAATTCTCAAAAAGTATCTCAATTTAAGTTTGAAGCAGTGTTTTAGATACAATGACATAATAATGTTTATTTGGAAGCTACATGTATCCCACTTTCCCTAAAGTTCAGAGGGCTGCAAATAGATTACAACAGGCCCCCTGAAATTTCTCAACTGAACATTTCAGATTGCCACCGGTTCATATTCAATGTGACAAATCATCTACATACCCTTTGAGAATTCTAGTAAAGCAGGTTGTTGTTTTAACAGAAATAAAGCATCATGTTCTCCTGTCCTGCCACTGGTTTTTGACACGTCTAGCCTCCAACATAACCCAAGATTACCTACGATTTACGGGGCTCTGATGCATTGCAATTAAAGCAGGTTGAGCCCATGGCCTATAGGTTAAAATTGACTGCTACCGCAGTAATCCTATGGACTTCAACAAGTGTTGAACGCCGACTGGATCCGCAGACAGGTTTATCTGTATCCGCCCAGAGGGCGTTAGATTTTATTTTTCAGGTTGATGCCAGACAAACAAAACAGAGACAGAGTCCACCTACCCCTACGAGGGAAACTGCTCTCATGCCCGTTAAAGTCGGCGTGCAGAGAAGGCTAACGCAAGGCACCGGAGGGAGACAGGAGAGGCAGCGAGGACGAAACAAGAGCAAGGGGAGCGAGCACGTGGGGACTGCCTCCCTTCTTCCTCCGAGTTCAAGACTCAGCACTCCTCTGAGTCGCCACTGCCCCGATGTAATTTGCCTCGGAGCTTTACAAGTTTGACTCTGGCCATTAGTCTCCTCAGGAGAAGGAGACTTAAGGAGCCCGGGAGACGAGGGAGCTCGACCACACATCGCATTCCTTGCCCGGGGGCGGCCAGCTCCGTCCCCGTGGCAGGCGGGTGGGTGACCCCTTTCCCCGCCTCTTCTCCCGCTTTCCTCTAACGCAGGCTGAGCCCAGCGGCGGCGGGCTCCGAAGACTGCCCTCCTCCACCTCCGCTCCCACCCAGGTCACCTAGAAACTCAGTCCGCTCGGCTAGCAGGGAAGCCCGCGTGGCTAAGACGGAGGGGGAAGAGAATGTGCCTGGAAAAGACATGTAAGTAACCGCTGCCAGCACCAACCTAGCACACAGTCCAGAGAAGGGAGCCCGCTGGAAAGGAGGAGCTGCCCGTGCCGCACCGACGGTCGGGTGCCCGGCAGAAGGGCCAAGCGACCGCCTCCCCCATCGGGCCCTTTCCTCTGGAAACTCGTCGCAGCCCTTTCGCTCCGCGCAAACCCATCGGTCGCCAAGGCCGCCATCTTAGCTTCTCCTGTGTTGACAGGGAAGTCACGAGAGAGGAGGAGGAGGAGGGGCATGGAAGCGCGCTAAGCCAATAGGAAGGACCGTTACTGGCAGGCGCCCCGTGGCTCCAGTGCGGGATGGTGAAGAGGGGCCGTCGTGTACCGGTAGCAAAGAAGGTGAGTCAGTGCTAAGGGGGAAAAACTCTTTGAGCCTGGCTAGGGCGGCGGTGGCCGTTGGCCGGTTCCGATGTGTGTGTGTATGGGTAAAGCTTGGCCTCTGTTCCTGAGGGGAATCCCACTTTCAGGAAGTGAGGCTGTGGCTTTATGGGTCGAGGAGAGTCTCCCCCACTTGTGCCTAGTGGGCCAGAATCCTTTCAGCGCGTGCTGTGAAAACTAAACATTTAGGGTATTTCCCTGGTCGTCTTTTACCTGAGAGTAAACCCTCGTGTGTGTGGATTGTGGGCTTCAGTTCCGAGTAAGCTTGCATAGGATAGGCTTACACGGATGCCGTGAGAAGTGGAAATTGCTTCTAATTTTCCCCAGTGAAATCGGTCGGATGAGGAGGAGGATGATACTGAGGAGAGATAGTTGGGCTTGAATGGTGAGACAGAAAATTCGAACGACGTCGTGTCCCGCTGGACAGTAGAGGAGCTGTATTCTCCGGGTTTACAGTAGGGTTGTCAGTGGACAGTAGAAATACTTTGGATAATTTTTGAACCAGGTATGGACTTGGAAAACAACTTCCTCTCAAGAAAATTTATTAAACTCGACGATATAAATATGATTTTATTTTTAAATTAAAGCAAATTAATTTGTTGAGTTTAGTAACTTTTCTTGAGAAAAAGTTATTTCTAAAGTCCACCATGCCTTGTTAGTATAGGATAGTATTAGTATATCCCTGCTCTCCCGGGCTCCTTGTTAGCATATCTGTAATAGGTAAAAACTGTTTTGCAGTTTTTACCTATTATAGATTAAAATTACCCTCATTTTGGGTGCTTGAAGTGAGCAACACCTCTATCTTATGCAGTTATTTGCAAGTAGGTATTGACTTGTCCATGCTGCTTGAGGTTCTGCACACATGTAGGGTTTTCCATTCAGAAAGAGCATGTATATTTTAAATGTATGATTATTGTATACTATATATGCTATTATATAAGTTGCATATTACTTCTTTCATCACATGTAGATATAGTAGAAAATGTATATGTACAAACTAGAAACTTTCCCTTAATGACTGGCTGCCTGAGTGGGGTTTTGTGCCTTACTGCTTTGAAAGTGTTTTTAGTTTGCTTTCATTTACTGTCTTTTAGCGTGGTATTTCTTTGATCATTTTCAGTTCTTATATCTTTACTGTTTTTAGCTTTAAAGACTGTCTTTTAATGATGTAAGCTACCTTGGGTCCATCTTAAGGAGAAAGGCAGGGTAAAAATACTTTGAATAAATAAAAACAATAAATAGATTAATAAATAGGACAGATAAATGACAGTATGCATAGCAGGGGTGTCAAACTCAAATTCATCGGGGGCCGCATCAGCAGTTTGGTCCCCATCAAAGGGCCGGTTGTATCTGTAATTGACCATGTCCACCCCCCTTCCAGCCCGGCCCCACATCACCCGCCTGCTTGCACCGCAACCCCATCAGGCTCAACACCTCCCTGAGGGGACCCCCCCAAACCTTCAACCTTCTTCCTCCTCCCCCACTCCAGCGCCCCTTATTTCCGTTCCCCTCCCTCCCTTCCCCCTCCAGGCCCTTTGCTTTCTTCCCACCTCAGCAGAGCCCGGCTTTCTCTCTTCCCGCCCACCCTCGCCCCCGCCCGTTAGGGGAACGGGATCTGGTGTTGGGGAGGCGGTCTGATGATCCCTTCTGCTGGATCCCACCGCGAGGGCCCCGCACCCTTTCCTTGAGGAGGGTGGGATGGATGGACGGAGGGGGAGGGTGGATGGCTCGCCTGGCCCGAGCCTTGCAAGCCTTCCTTTCCAGTCCACACACACACACACCCCTCCGCGCACCCTGATCTCCGAAGCCGCCTCCTTACCTACCTGCCCGCCCCTCTCGCCGCCACCGCCCCATTCCCCCCCTCCTTCCCGGGCCCCTTGCTCCCCACCAGCGAAGGGGAGGCAAGCAGGCAGGCTCCCTTACCCGTGCAATGCAACCGGGGCGCAGCGTGAACTCCTCCTCGTGCAGCAGGCGCAGCAGCTCGAGGAGGGGGGGCGTGCTCACCAGATATGGGCCTCTTCTTTTTCCCTCTGTCCCGTGCGCGCCTTCTTTTGGCCAATTGCGACACGGCAGGGCCACTGGGTGGGGGGAAGTTGGAGTCTGAGGCATGCTAATTCCGCTGCGACTGGGAGCACCGAAGAACTGCAGTCCACCACGCCCTCCGCCCGCCAAGCTCTGGGTGGACCTCACGTTTTCCGGGGTTGGGGATGGTGTGCAAATGGATGGCTCCGCGGGCCATCAGACGAGGTCTGGGGGGCCGGATTTGGCCCACGGGCCTTGTTTTTGACACCCGTGGTGTAGTGGGTAGAGTAATGGACTAGGATTCAGGAGACCTGGGTTCAAATCCCTGCTCAGCCATGGGAACTCACTAGGGGTATGGAACTGGTAAGGCTTCTCTTTAATATCTCACTTGCCTTGAAAGCCCTATTAGAGTCACTATAAATTGATTTCTGAGTTGATGAAACATAACAAGAATATGTACTAAGCCTGAGTCTGTGTGCTTAGAACTCCTGCTGATTTGAGTGGGATTTACTCTCTAATAAATTCATCTAGGACTATATCTTAAGAGATTTTGAAGTTTGTCTTTGAAAGAAATAAAACTGATCAATCTACTAATATCTTCTCCCCTTCCTGCTAATAATAAAGAAGTCGCCGTTCTGTCTGTGAATTCAAAGAGTTTTAGGCATCATCATATAATTTTCTAGTTATGGAAATGTGGAATGTATTAATTATCCAGCTGTTGATTGGACAATGTGGAAGTTGTCATAAACAGTTATTGTAAATAATTGATATTTAATTATTTTGTATCTGATTATGTACTTTATCTGTGGTATACAAAACAAAAGAAGTCAGTAACATGTCCCTCTATGCAACCTTAAGGAGTCTGGTCCAATGCAAACCATAGTCATTCTGCAAGAATGACTAGATACTTTGTTTCTTTTTTATAGGATATAAATCAGGTGTGTCCAACCTCTCATCTTCTCTGGGCCATATTAGAAGATGAAAATTTGGTTTGGGCTGCACATACATTTGGTTTTGGGCTGCATGGGGGGGGCAACCCTAGCCATCCTCCACAGCCCTGCTCCAAGCGTGCTTACCGGCAGCTGCGATCTCAGACAGCAGAGGCTGCCAGCTTTGACTCTGGTGGCTTTATGGGGCCGGGAGGGGGTCCACCTATTGACAGGGATGGTGCAATACAGTCACGCAGCCGCCCTCTCCCCTTCCCTCCCGCTCCTTCCTTCCTTCCTTCTCCCCCCACTACAGTTGTGATGTGCCCCGGCTGCATTCCGACTGCAAGCGCCAGCAGTGTAACTTGAAACTTTGGAATTTTTTTAAAATAAAAAATTGCACTGGGCCGCATTATGAGCTGACCTGGGCCGCATGCGGCCCTCGGGCTGCAGGTTGGACAAGCCTGATATAAATCATATGTTTCAATATTGTTACCATTCTGAAGGGCTCAGAGGAATGAAGGGCAATGATTCTCTATCATTCTAAGGTAGTGAAGGCTGGTGATGGGCCCAAGATTGAAGAACAAGCAAATAGTGGAACTTGGGAACCAGTTTGGCATTCTGGAAGCAAGCCGGAAAACTGGTATTGAAGTTAATGCTGTGGGTGGATGAGGCTAATATTTCCTCGTGTGCACTTGGTACAGCTTGGCATGAGGCAGATAGTAGAGGATAGGGATGAGAGAAACAAGTGGGGGAATTACATGATGAGTCAAGAAAAGCAGAAGCAGGTAAGAGGTCTGAAGGGGAAGAGATATGAGACTTGGGCAGAGAGTGAGAGATGAAAAATCAAGAGGAGAATAAAATGGAAAACAGTGGCAGCAGGGATGACTGGAAAGGTAAAGGCAAAGAAAGTATGTCCAGCCTGTCATTTTTTAAAAATAAATCATGTAGCCTGGTAAAGAGTTCTGAAAAACTTTTGTGAGTTTATAGTTTATCGTGATAAATATATTGCCCATGTATGGATTTTTGGTTTTGCTATATTTCCAAAGGTGTGAAAAGGCAAATCCAAGAGACCACGTTTGTTGTTTAGCAGCACAATTCAAAAGCATCAATTCTTCGGCGGTCAGCTTTCTTTATGGTCCAGCTTTCACTTCCATACATTGCTACTGGAAAAAACATCACTTTGACTATGCGGACCTTTGTCGTCAAGGTGATGTCTCTGCTTTTTAAGATGCTGTCTAGGTTTGTCATCGCTTTCCTCCCAAGAAGCAAGTGACTTTTAATTTCGTGGCTGCTGTCACCATCTGCAGTGATCAGGGAGCCCAAGAAAGTAAAATCTGTCACTGCCTCCATATTTTCCCTTTCTATTTGCCAGGAGGTGATGGGACAAGTGGCCATTATCTTAGTTTTTTTGATGTTGAGCTTCAGACAATTTTTTGTGCTCTCCTCTTTCACCCTCATTAAGAGGTTCTTTAATTCCTCCTCACTGGTAGTGGTATGATCTGCATATCTGAGATTGTTGATATTTCTTCGGGCAAAGATTGTTGATATTTCTTCTGGCAGTCTTAATTCCGGCTTGGGATTCCAGTCCTGCCTTTCGCATGATGTATTCTGCATATAAGTTGAATAAGCAGGGGGACAATATATAGCCTTTATCCACTATCTTAGTTTTTCTGATGTTGAGCTTCAGACCGTTTTTTGCACTCTCCTCTTTCACCCTAATTACAAGGTTCTTTAATTCCTCCTCAGTTTCTGCCATCAGAGTGATACCATCTGCATATCGGAGGTTGTTGACATTTCTTCTGGCAATCTTAATTCCGGTTTGGGATTCCTCCAGTCTAGCCTTTTGCATGATGTATTCTGCATATAAGTTGAATAAGCAGGGGGACAATATATAGCCTTTATCCACTATCTTAGTTTTTCTGATGTTGAGCTTCAGACCGTTTTTTGCACTCTCCTCTTTCACCCTAATTACAAGGTTCTTTAATTCCTCCTCAGTTTCTGCCATCAGAG